ACTTGAGTTTTCACTTCATCCATCCAATAAGCTACACAGTTCACTCAACCTCCAACCAAATCGTTCCCAGTTAAAAAATGCTCATCAGTCAACTTTTAATAATACTGATTTATACACTTTATCACGGGAACCTTCTACAAGACGGACGTCAAATACCAATTTCTATTTAAGAAAGAGAACAAAAGAAGCACCTAAGGGTGTGGCCTAGTGGTCAACAAATGGGTTAAGAACCATGAGGTGTCAGGTTCACATCCCAGTAAAAGAAAAAACTTAAACCATATGTTCTTCGTAGTCATAAATAGTCATCTAAGGCCAAAGTATATCAATGGTTCTTCCATAATACAAAAAACTTTCCGAACCTGTAATGAGAGCAAAGACAATAAGCAGCTTTAAGATGGAGTTTCTGAAACATGTTACCAAATACAAAGCATGTAGTTGCAGTAATAACTTATTACAAACAAGCCAGGCCAAATAAATGCACAGTGGCTAATGAAATTTCAAGCTTAACATAGAGTTGAGAGTAGAGAACTAAACCTCATCATCTGCATGACCAATTATAGCTGGTCCCCATGATCCGACATAGTCAATGTACTCGTTACCATCTATGTCCCGCATACGAGAGCCCTTCACAGAGTCAATAATGATAGGTTGTCCGCCAACCGACTTGAAAGCACGGACAGGGGAATTTACACCTCCTGGCATCAACTCCTACCAAGAGTAAAACACGAGATGAAATCAATGAAAGAACTCGTAAGGACTAAGGATCAATAAAATTGATTGAACCTTTCCTCCTCCTTTGCTTTCGGGAGTATTATGCTGCAAGAGACTAATGTATAGAGATTTTGAGCACAACACAAGAAGAATAACATGAATCAAGTGTACCTTTGTAGATTGAAGGCTTACACCACATAACTGAAAAATTAGTTGAACTGTATTTTCAGGTTCAAAGTGCAAGTCCCTTTTCAACTAAGGACAAAATGTTGTACAATTTGTTCTTCCTCAAGCGCCATTTTTCTAACCTTTTACCCCATCTAGAAAATGTGATAGGTTTCAGCATTTTCCCCTTATAGGTTCCAATCTCAGTAAGTCACATCAAAAGATGCACAAGAAACAAAAGAATATATAAAGGGAAACGAAACCGACTAAAGCAAAGAAACATATTTTGCTGCAGAAATTTTGCTACATTATCAGATTCCTCAATAGATCTCCTCTTTGTAGTCAAACCACCTACGATTTCGTGAAATTGAAACAGTGATATAAATTGCGCCTTTCCAGCACAACTTACATATAAAACATACTCAAGGTTCTCATGAAGTCACAAATAGATCACAGTTAAGCTATACTAACTTATATGGGAGGACAACTAGACCGTATGTCAGATCAGATAGCACTGGTTTTACATCAATTCATCAGCAGATGCCAATTTGGCAGGCGAACCAACTGTTAGGCTAAAACAACCCAAAGATACTTTTAACATGGTGCGGTATTGTCCACTTTGGACTAAGACCAAACCCACACGGTTTTCTCCAAAAAAAGCCTCATACTATTAACAATATCACTACAAAGTCTTTCACTTTCTTTTGAGCTAAGACTTTGTTTGCACACCTAACACCAACTTTATCAAATCAACATCTCCTTCTTCCTCTCTTCACCCAACCCAAATATCTTAAAGCTAGCAATTTTAAGCTCCCACTATGCTTGGGGTGGAAGGGCCGGACCACAAGGGTCTATTGTACGCAGCCTTACCCTGCATTTCTGCAAAAGGCTGTTCCCACAGCTCGAACCCATGACCTCCTGGTCACATGACAGCTCCCCTCCAATTTTACCAACAATATTAGCAGGAAAAATCAAATCTTGACCCAATACAGTTCAAATCAAAGAATAAACACTGAACAATATCCATAATCTTGAATCTTATCACCACCTTATCTAGAAGATGAGATGGATCCAGGATTTTAAGTTTATGGATTTTTGAACCTTACATCTTTTTGTCTAATGAGTACTGAATAACATTACCAAATTGAATTGTATGAAGAACACAGAGCCAAAAAAAACTGAATTTTGATTACCTTGGCTTTGCTGAAAGCTTCTTCAGACTTCTCAAGTGTGAAAGTTTTCTTCTTTTCATCAACTGAGGCTGTCATTCTAATGGTTGCAGCCGAAGAAGAAGATGGGTTGCATCGACGGTGAGATGGAGAAAAACCCCATTTGGGTGTTTGAGTTTTGGTCAATTTTGATGGCCATGAAAGTCCTACACCATTTACAGCAGCCATTGTTACCAACTCTTCCTCTTCTCTCTCTTTGAGTATTCTTGAATTGGTGCTGCAATGGGTTTTCTTCTAAATTTTTTGAGTTTTAAAGTGGCCTTGTCTTGACTTATGATGAAGATAAGGAAACTAGATAGGGAAATCTTAAGAAAGCAACAATTTTATTTTATTTTTTGTAAATTAGAAGTGATTTTTTATAGGGAATATTAACCTAATGTAGTTGTTCTGGCCCTTTTTATTGTAAAAATTATATAAATACATTTTTATAGTAGATATACAAAATATATGTAATTGTTGTGATCTAAAGACTAAAAATTCTAGTAGTGAGCACTTTCTTGATAGTTTGCTTAGTAGATTATATGGTATTTCACTAGGGGTATTAGGAATAAAATGTATTGTTTAAAAAGAAAAAGAAAATACATTTATTAGAAAAAAATGCATTTTGATCTCTTAAGTAACAGTAGAGATATTTTTATTTGTTATAATACATACATAAATGTGTCATCTAACTTGGCTTCAACTGATATGTATGCCTCTAATTTTGGCTGTGCACAAATAGAGGAACAAGTAGACACATATATTCTACATGACACAATACACGTACGACACCAGGTAAGACACAAAATTGTCATGTAGGACGCCACGTATGACGAATGTGTCTATTTGTTCAATTTTATATCAATTTAAGTGTCTACTTATGCACATTCAAAGTTCGAGAGCATATACGTCAACTGAAGTCAAGTTAAATGACACATTCACAAGTTGAGTAATAAGTAGACACACATGTTCTACGGGACATAATACACGCAGGATACCATGTAAATTGCCACGTAGGACGAATGCGTCTATTTGTTCAATTTTATACAAGTTTAAGTGTCTACTTGTACTTGTGCACATCCAAAATATTTAATGCCATAAAGCTTCCGCCTTCTTTTTAAGGAATAATACCCTCCACTTTTTACAGATGCATACATATCGAGAACTTGTCGTCGAAGGAGAGTGGTGTTTTGCAATAGTTGTAGAGAAATTTGATCAACATATGTCTTCCTTAGGATGGCTAGTAGATTATTATCAATTTCATAGTTTGCACCTACAAAATAAAAGTATTTATTTGTTATAAAATAATCATTGTTTAAATATTTAATTGACATATATAAATAATAATTATATATTTATGTACCCTTCGTCTTCTTTGGCTCATTCAAAATTATTAATTCTGCCATCTGTAAATTTTGACAAAAGAATTTTTTTTCAAGTTATATACATATAATTGAATTATGAAGTACAACACAATCATTTGTGAGATATTAACATTTAACAGTATGGTAGAAAAAAAAAACAATATAAACCAAAAATTATATGGTGCAAAAAATAAATGCATATAAAAAAAGATAACACCCGAAGCCCCCAAAGACCGAGGGAACCGAAATTATGTAT